CCCGGTCTATTCATTCATTCATTCCTTCGTTCAGACAAGCAGACATATCCACACGCCTCGTCTTGAACTGTGCTTCAGTCCTGCTAAGGGCCCCCGGCACTCGACCAGACTACATGTGTTCAAAAAGTTACCACCACCCGAACCGAACCAAACCAGGGGCATGTTAACCACACCTTTCATTCGTCCATTCATTCATACATCCAATCATTCACGCAGACAAAGAAATGTAAGCACACGCGCCTGCCCTGCAGTAGTGTGGCCCGGCACAATGTAGCTGTAGTAGCTGGTACACAGTAAGCACAGTAAGCTGGTACACGCATAGCACGACCACCAGCATCTCGAGAGGCCTTTTCAGCGGCCAGCTACTAAATAATGCATGAACGTCACATAGAGGAAGGTAGCATAATACGAGCCGTCAACGATAGGACCATCACCGCCAACCGGACTGTGTGAACCTGTCTCCAGTGCCCGTCATGCAGCACACGGACTGCCTTGACGCTTCCAGTTGAGGGATCCATGTCCAGGTCGGCCAACCTGTCTGTCAGTGAATGGCGGTAAGTCAGCCCGAATCCTACCCTCCTGTCCAACTAATCTGCCCTATAATCCATTCGACTATAGTCCATTTATCGATGGCACACAGTCATTCATAAACATTCCTTTGCTAGCGGAAGACATTTCCTGAACTCGCGCCCTACCCCCGACATGCGCAACTCGCTCATACTCGCTCCCTACACCGCAAAGTGGAACAAATGGACCTACCTGCGCTGCTAGAGTTGATAAGTAGAGTTAAAGAGACCATCCGCGGCTTTTCCACGGCGTTTGGGGGAACTAAGAGAGAGGGAGTTTTGGAGTTGTATGGGTATGGGGCCGCCTAGCCTAATAAGTTCCTGAAGGTACGCCTAGCGCCACAATGAATATAAATTTTATATTTATTTTATCTATTTACTATATGCAGTTGAAGGGCATTCCTAGCGATGTTTTGCAATTCAGCAATATTTAGGGTGTATTTCCAGTGCGGATTAACGTCGGGGATTAACCCTCTGTCGTCCATCGATACTTGCTCAAACGGCTAAGTTGTTGGCAAACTTACCTCGCCTTTCTAACCTTTGGTTCCCTTATGGAACGAAACTATGTGGTAAGCTCCTACCAAGGACTTCCGTGCCCTAATCCCTGGCCTTAATCCGCACTGGAAATACACCCTTATTGAAGGACACAGCAAGCGAACGGCCCGCCGCGCGAACGACACCACACGCACTACGATGCTATGCCTGGAGCACATTACAAGTACCTAACTCACCATACAAAAAAAGTAAATGCTACTATGAATGTTTTTTTTGCCTTGCCGCTCGTCCGAAACGAAGCCGCAAGAAGTGTACGTGATTTGAAGCACCCTGGAACATAGCACGCTGTCAGCATCACTAATAAAGCCCTGTAGGTTCAGGACAGCTTCTCTAACTTCGCAACCTTTACCTGCTACCACGTATCGTATAATTTTCTATCAAATATAAACGTTTGCAGGCGGATAACAAATCTTCTGCTGTCCTGCCTGCAGGGAGCGATCTAGGGAATCCTCGCCGCATACACATACTGAACGGAAATCTGAGCCCGCAAGTTCAGCACACAATTGCTAGACGTCATAAACTTAGGAGCCTCAATTGTGTTCAGCTGTACAGTTATGTCGCCGCTCGTTCTGCTGCTGATCGGCGGGGCTCTTGCGGCATCCGTTGTCGTCAGCAGCAGCGACAGCCCTATAATTACCAAGGTGCGCATTTTCGTCTCTTTTCAAACAGGCAGAGAGCATAAAAAATAATGAAATTAGAGAGCCAGGACTATGCATGGAAATAGGAATAATGTATCTACTGCTACTTGTTGAGGCACCGAAAGCTTTACTTGTCGCGTGGTGGGCCTCCGCCGCGTCGCAACAGGCTGCTGATGCCGCTCAAAGTGGCCAAAGCGCTGAAGAATCTCTTCATCTGAGGGCGCACACGCTTACAAGCTCTACACGTCGGTTGCGGGCCTTATCTCCGCCACCGCGGCCGCCCCCGCCGCGACCTCCATCCAAGCCACCGCCACCTTCCCCGAAGCCACCGCCACCTAGGCCATCGCCGCCCCAAGTAAAATCACCTCCTCCGTCGCCACCACCTCCGCCACGGTCTTCACCGCCTTCACCGCCACCGCCCCGGTCTCCACCGCCTTCACCGCCGCCGCCTTCACCGCCACCGCCCCGGTCTCCACCGCCTTCGCCGCCGCCGCCTTCACCGCCGCCGCCCCGGTCTCCACCGCCTTCACCGCCGCCGCCCCGGTCTCCACCGCCTTCGCCGCCGCCGCCTTCACCGCCACCGCCCCGGTCTCCACCGCCTTCGCCGCCGCCGCCTTCACCGCCGCCGCCCCGGTCTCCACCGCCTTCACCGCCGCCGCCGCCATCCCCTCCAATATTTTCCCCGCCAGCGACCCCAATGTAAGCACCGACGGACAATTGAATTGGTAGTATAGATTTGTGGTTGATGTGTCCAGCTCACGCAGTAGGGACCGTCCATGACTGGTGACCTGCATTATATTCCCGTGTGCATTGTTCTCCAGCACCTCCAGCAATAATGATATTGCCGCTGGCTGCCTGCTGCCTGACTGTCCTGACGGGTGGGTGTGCCCGAATGCCATCTGCCTGCCTTGCTTCCGTCCGGTGCTGGTTAGTTGTGGTGCGGCATGATTAACATGACCATCCCCGTTCTTGATGATCCGTGGCTGCCGGCTGTCCCATGCATCTCAGATGCGTCGACCAGTTGTCGTACTGCGCGGACTGGAAAAACAGCGGCTATTGTGATCCCATGTACACCTCTGGCGGCTTGTCCGTCCGTGACTACTGGTGCCGCCAGTCGTGTGGAGTCTGCACCGCGTACGTATGTTTCTGGACATGCATCTTTTGCATGCGTCACACCACCTCCATGCGTGCACGCTAACTTACAACCTTGCGGCCACCTTTCCGGCTTCCTCCATCCTGCCTGTTGCCTGCTTGCTGCATGTTCTGGACATGCACTTGTGAGTGTGTGTTATAGGTAGCCTGTGGCCTTCATGTGCGCGCCTGCCTGCTGCTTTGCTTCATTTGAACATTTGGCACGCATACGTTCGCTGATTCACATCGGCACGGAAGGCTCCGAAACCTGCTCATCCATCGCATGCTTCCATCTTTTCAACTTGCTTGGCTGGTTTGCTTAGATTATGCTTCGTATTATCCCGCCCGCCCCCCACACGGCCGCGCCTTCTGGCCCGACGCCACCATGATGCTGTCGCGCAACAACAATATGAATCGCTGGCAACGTACATCATCACCCGTGCCCTCGCTGTATCACGCTCGCGTGTGCGTGATATTTTACATCACGGACGGAACGAATCTCCGTCGGTCGCTAGGCCACCGCTCTCATCACCGCCACCACCGCCGCCGCGGCCACCACCATCGCCGTAAGTGCTGGGGTGGGCAGAGTGCGTGGGTGGCTGATGGCCAAGTTCCGAAACACTACATATAATCATGATAAAGAGCTTGGATTGAGGGGTATATCAAGGGGGCAGGGGTGGAGAGGTTATGGGTATCTATGCCGGGCGGTGCACTTCCATGCTGGGCTGTGTAACTTTACATGCACCACCACGCACACGTATCCAGAGCGTTCCTTGGAAGCTAGGACAAACAAGCTATGTATGTCTGTCGTTGTAAGCCATAATGTTATGGTAGCGGGTAGCGGTAAATTGCCTGGTGACCGCTCAACTATGATACTGCTGCTGGGTATGTGTGCATGGGTGGGTGGCTTGCTGGTGCCCGCCAGCAGCTGGGCAAGCATGTTCGTATAAGTCCATCAACATAATATCCCCGTGTGCATTGTTCTCCAGCACCTCCAGCAATCATGGTAATATTGTCGCTGGCTGCCTGTTGCCTGACTGTCCTGACGGGTGGGTGTGCCCGAATGCCATCTGCCTTCCCTGCTTCCGTCCGGTGCTTGTTGGTTGTGGTGCGAAATCATAAACAAGACCATCCCCGTTCTTGATGATCCGTGGCTGCCGGCTGTCCCATGCATCTCAGATGCGTCGACCAGTTGTCGTACTGCGCGGACTGGAAAAACAGCGGCTATTGCGATCCCACGTACACCTCTGGCGGCTTGTCCGTCCGTGACTACTGGTGCCGCCTGACGTGTGGAGTCTGCACCGCGTACGTATGTTTCTGGACATGCATCTATTGCGTACGTATTAGACCTGCTGCATGCACGCTAACTTACAACCTTGCTGCCACCTTTCCGGCTTCCTCCATCCTGCCTGTTGCCTGCTTGCTGCGTGTTTCCGGACATGCACTTGTTTGTGTGTGTTATACCGTATCGCTATGGCCGATTGGTGACACCGGATTGGTGAAAATCACCAATCCAGTAGCAAAGGATAATCCGGGCTGGGATTGAGCGGCGGCCATCACCAATCCCTGTACGTTTTGGATCCAGGTCGGGTGCCGGACCGCCTAACTCGCAGAAAAGCACACATAAAGCAATATTTCCTGCCAAACTTTACATTATATAATCATTACATTAATAAATTATTACTTGGTCAGCAAGAGTTGCATCATGGCAGGCCGCAGGACAGCAGCTAGGCCGAACCGGTTCGGCTAGACAAACTGTGCATGAGTTTAAGGGTCACTTTGCTGCGCGCGCGCGCGATGCTGTATGCGTCGGCGTGCATCTAGAAACGTTTACATGCGACTGCAGATTGGTTGATGTGGGCCTGGGGCGCCTCGGAGGGCCCACAGTGAACGGGGGGCAGTCCGGTTGGCGGCTTTCACCAATTCGGTGGCAATGGGAAAAAGTGGACGGGGTAACACCAAACCGTATCACCAATTCCGGTGTTGGAAGGATTAATTCTAGAAGCGTTTTTTACTTTCACCAATCCAGAAATCACCAATCGGCCATAGCGATACGGTAGATAGCCTTGTGTGTGTGTGTGTGTGTTACATGGTTGGGGGTGCGTGACCCCATACCTGTAAGACTACCCGTACGAGCCGAAGGCCCAAGGGCAATACTACAACGCCTAAAAGCCACGGAGGAAAGGAAAACACCGCACATCAGCCCAGGCTAGCGTCCAAAGGGGGTAATTGAGTTTCGGTGAGCCCACATACGTTCCAACATCCTCGCAAGACGTGCGGGTTCCCATTTCATGGCCTCCAACATGCTCTGTTGATGATCGAATCCCTCATCAGCACGAATATCATTATAGGCTGGGCATTCCAATAACACGTGTTTTTCATCCTCGATTCGGCTATTAGTACCACAACAGTGGCAAAACCGCTGCCCCCTGGGGACATGGTACTTGCCCCTTCGTGCTCTGTTTGCCTCCAAAGCCCAGCAACATAAACGAAACTGCATTAGCTTACGATGTGCTAAACGAGAAATGAAAACCTTAGCATGTGTTGGCCACATGACGGCTGCGGCTCCCGAAAAGGGCAGCCCCATCCAGTGCTTATACTTCGCCATTTGCATTCCCGGTTGCTTCCCATCTGATGGGTACTCCTCTGGCAAGACAGTCAGACGCGTATGGTCCCAGCCGCTCATCAAACGCTCTCTTAGTGCAGTTATCATCGCTCCTTCGGGTAGAGGTCTACTCAACAACCAGCCAACACGCTCCTTTACCCCCACGACTTCTTGCGGTATTCCACTCCAAACGTTGCACTCCAAGAAGGAAAACAGTCGTAACATTGAGATTCCCCAACCCTCCCATTCCGGGTTGGTCAGGGCATCGGTTATCTCCTGCCGTAAAACTGCATGAGAAATGGATCCCACTTGCTTTTGAAGGCGGTTCCAGAAACGGAGGATCTGCTTCACCATGTAATATTGTAAGGGGAATTCAGCCAGCTCCGCATACAACAGCCTGTGGGATGGCCGTGCCGTCCCCACTACCTGCCTCATGAATAAAATCTGCAGCTGGACTGCGCTATCCTTCAAACAGGCTTCGAACATGCCCTCCGCAAGGTTGGCTTTATCCCGCCGCCTTCCCACCCTGTCCATATAGCCATATAGCCATGTGGCCTTCATGTGGCCTTCATGTGCGCGCCTGCCTGCTGCTTTGCTTCATTTGAACATTTGGCATGCATACGTTCGCTGATTCACATCGGCACGGAAGGCTCCGAACCCTGCTCATCCGTCGCATGCTTCCATCTTTTCTACTTGCTTGGCTGATTTGCTTAGATTATGCTTCGTATTATCCCGCCCGCCCCCCACACGGCCGCGCCTTCTGGCCCGACGCCACCATGATGCTGTCGCGCAACAACAATATAAATCGCTGGCAACGTACATCATCACCCGTGCCCTCGCTGTATCGCGCTCGCTTGTGCGTGATATTTTACATCACGGACGGAACGAATCTCCGTCGGTCGCTAGGCCACCGCTCTCATCACCGCCACCACCGCCGCCGCGGCCACCACCATCACCGTAAGTGCTTGGGTGGGCAGAGTGCGTGGGTGGCTGATGGCCAAGTTCCGAACCGCTACATATAATAATGATAAAGAGCTTGGATTGCGGGGTATATCAAGGGGGCAGGGGTGGAGAGGTTATAGGTATCCATGCTGGGCGGTGCACTTCCATGCTGGGCTGTGTAACTTTACATGCACCACCACGCACACGCAGCCAGAGCGTTCCTCGAAAGCTAGGACAAACAAGCTATGTATGTCTGTCGTTGTAAGCCATAATGTTATGGTAGCGGGTAGCGGTAAATTGCCTGGTGGCCGCTCAACTATGATACTGCTGCTGGGTATGTGCGCATGGGTGTGTGGCTTGCTGGCGCCAGACAGCTGCTGGGCAAGCATGTTCGTATAAGTCCATCGGCATAATATTCCCACGTACATGGTTCTCCAGCACCTCCTGCAATAATGGTAATATTGTCGCTGGCTGCCTGCTGCCTGACTGTCCTGACGGGTGGGTGTGCCCGAATGTCATCTGCCTTAAGGCAGCAAGGAAGCTTCCTAGCTTCCGTCCGGTGCTTGCTAGTTGTGGTGCGAAATGATTAACAGACCATCCCCGTTCTTGATGATCCGTGGCTGCCGGCTGTCCCATGCATCTCAGATGCGTCGACCAGTTGTCGTACTGCGCGGACTGGAAAAACAACGGCTATTGTGATCCCATGTACACCTCTGGCGGCTTGTCCGTCCGTGACTACTGGTGCCGCCAGTCGTGTGGAGTCTGCACCGCGTACGTATGTTTCTGTACATGCATCGATTGCATGCGTCACACCAGCTGCATGCATGCACGCTAACTTACAACCTTGCTGCCACCTTTCCGGCTTCCTCCATCTTGCCTGTTGCCTGCTTGCTGCGTGTTTCCGGATATGCACTTGTAGAAGTTTTTACACGTTCCTCAGGAATGGGGGTCCATGCTTCCTGCTTGGCTGGTGTATGCCGTATACTGGCAACATGATAAGAGGAAGACATGCCTGCTTTTCATGTCAGACCCGCCGAGGCTGAACGAAACGCGGACGAACGCTGTTGTTGCTCCTTTGGTTGCTGCTGCTGCTGCAGGCCTCCTAATGCACCATTTCCACCGCCCCTTCCCGGAGATGCCCTAATCGGCGGTGAGCTAGCTAGGGACCGCTGTGCTGCGCAACTGATTGTATACGATCGTCACAAGTTACACTCAGTGATCCCCTTTGCTCGCTAGTCTGGGCTGAGAGTGCGGTGTTTCCCTTTCTTCGGGGCTTTTAGGCGTTTACAATGCCTTGCCCTTGGGCCTTCGGCTCGCATGGTAGTTTTACAGGTATGGGGTCACGCACCCCCCAACCATGTAACACACACGCACACACACACACACACACACACACACACACACACACACACACACACACACACACACACACACACACACACACACACACACACACACACACACACACACAAGTTACACTCACGCACTGCGGCTCCTACTCCCAACAGGATGCTCATGCGTGCACGTGCACTTGTGTGGTGGGCGTATGCATGCAGCGTTTTTTTAAATGATATATTACTTAAAAGGAATAAACAGGCATTTTGGCCTTTGGGAAAAAAGGAATGAATTGAGGCCGACCCTTACATTTTCATTCCTCCAGCCAAAAACGTCCATTGCTGCCAGATTGCTCTTAGGGTGCAGAACGATAGTATTTTCAATCATAGAATACATATGAGGGGCCGTATGAAGGTCAAGTGCCAGAACTATCTACGCATGTGCACGAAGAGTGCACACACGAGCGAAAACACGCCTACTCAGTGGAGTTGTAAGTTAGGGGGGGGGTCTGGGGGGGGGTCTGGGCCCCCCCCAGCGCCTAACAATTTAGAAATAAATAACGACAACCCTAGCAGCTCTGTTACTTAGGTTGGAATAAATTGAGACCCGTCCTAAACGAAAAAAAATCACTGCACCGTGCATGTCCATCCATATATCGGTATTTATATACCCATCAGCACATGCATTCTTGCAGCTACGTTCATAGCCGTGCAGCAGCTGCTCAGATAGCCCGCCCTTCATCATCATTCAACAGACGCTTTTGGCAGCCGTATACAGACATAGATGCATACGCATACACACACGTGCATGCATGCATGCATGTACACACACCCGCACACATACAGAGATGGTTATTTCTACACTCGTAACTGGTTTACACATAGTGCCAAGGGCGATTTGCGGACGAACCGCCAATATTACGTCCTCACCACCCAACTAAACTGGCTCTCCTGAAGCCATGGCGGTCTGCAGCCACCACCAACTACTCATGCGCCTGTCACTAGCTGAATGAATGGGAATGTTACATACGCTGTATCCCGGACCCGACCGGACCACCTGTGCTGCCCCCGCGAACAACGGCGGTAATACATGTCTTTTGTCGTTCTTGCTACTTAACCTCCCCCACTGTTGTCGTCTGCTGTAATGTTGGCGTCGCCACTGCTGCCGCCGATGCAGGCTGTGCCGACCCTGCCGCCAGCCTGCTGCTGCACAACCAGTACCGTACACGGCACGGGTCGCCGGCCCTGGGCTGGAACAACACCCTCGCACAGCAAGCAAAGGTTAGTACGCTCGCACAAGTACGTGTGTAGTGGTTGTGGTTCTCGTGGTGCAGCAGCTGCTGCTTGTGAATATCGACGCGCGGTGGGGGGAAAAGCATCACATCAGCGAGCAACTTACGAAAAGGGGACCTGAAGGGGTTTACATCGCGGGGGCCCCGAGGTGGGGATCTCCCGGTCGGTTAGGGGAGGTGGGGCTGGGGAATGCCCCGCGATGGGGCGGACCCCTGTCATGCAAGAATCCTAGCTGCCACCTGCCGGCATGTGAGCCAGGCGTGTTTTGGGAGCAGTACGAAGAGACAACAATGAATGAGCGTGTTTAGCAGCTAGATTGAAAATCCGTGTTTGTGTCCACGGATTATTGCTGTAGCAATAGGTTGAATACACCTGCAAGATAGACAGATGCATGGGAGGAACCCAGACATGGGAACCGTATCGTGACAGCATCGCATGCAGCTCCACATCGTACGCACGTATGCCGCTGCGGCCGTTTGCGGTTCACAGCACGTGCCGTCCTCGTGTAGCTTACTTTCCGTTTGTCACCTGGCCTCCTTCTGCGGCACGGCCTGCACCAAGTACCCTTCCCCATGCACCCGTCCGAACGCAGAACTGGGCCGCCAACCTGGCGCTAAACAACAGCTGCGGTTTGTATCACGAAGGAGTCGCCGGCGAGAATTTGTACATGGCGTCGACCTCAAGCCAGACATCTCCCCTCAATTGCAGTAGGGCAGTGGACGCATGGTACGGCGAAATTTCGCTGTACAAGTTCACGAGCACACCGTACACTGACAATACATTCTCGAGTATTGGGCACTTCACTCAAGTTGTGTGGGCTTCGACAGCGCAAGTTGGCTGTGGTGCAGTGCGGGGCACGAACTGTTACGTGGTTAGTTGCCGGTATGCACCACCGGGAAATATTATTGGAGATAGCAACTTTCTGGCGAACGTCCTTCCCCCCGTCTCTGCCCGCCGATCACTTGAAGTGGACGTCGCTTCTGTTGACGACGTGCTGCCCACCGGCAGTGACAGCGATGGACAGGTGGTCATTACGTCCGTTGCTTAGTAACAAACACGGAACGCAAACCCACGGTAATACATGCACATGCCCCACCACTACTTCATCCACCTAAAAACACGCCAGCCAGGCATTCTGTTCCATCTCCACTATGTGCGTGTACATGCACATTCCACGCAGATTGATAGGTGCCCCGCACCTTCGTGCTTAGATACACACGTTCTTTGGTGCAGATCGAGTTTTCGCATTTCCTGGTTGGATTGGTTTCTGGACGTGTTTGCAAAAGGCTCCAGGGATCCAGCGAATTTATATATTATGCCAGCCACATGCACGGTATGTAGTTCCATATACCGGCATCATATGTATTGTGCTGTGCATGCCATTAATTACACCCAAGGCCGTCTCTGTATGTATGGCAGTTGTTTGCTTAAATATAGGTTCCAATCGTTCCCAAGCCACCGCTACTCCATAGTGCATGTGCATGTGTACAGCGCGACCCGAGCTAGCAAGCGCATGTCGTAGGAGTCAATTGTATGACTCCATACTGGCCAATGGTGCTGGCTGGCCAACCAGAGTGCACATAACCAAGTGCCTCTCCTGTGTCAACGTTGCATGCAAGTGGGGAGTGCGTCCCCTGGCCCCGCACCCATATGCGAGTTCTCCTAATGATGCATGTGTCCGCCGGGGCATGGTACAGTGTGGACTGCAGGCGTAGAAATGCAGCCCACGTTTATTTCCCCCTTAGCATGAAGAGACATGAAGCTACCTCAACTCATACACACCATGCTCGGGCCGATGTACTCCTATAAATTAGTATTACTATTGCCGCCCTAATCGAGGTGTCCAGGGGCCATTTCTTCTTTGACTCGTGATGTATTGCAGCTTAGGTACGGCCGATGTGTCCGGCCTAGGAGTAGTCATATGGTTGAGCACCATCTGGGAAAAAAGCGGATGTGCAACCAAGCGAGGAACTACTTGTATGTGCTTAATTCTATATTATACCGCTGTACGGCCATTTATGCCACTAGGTCGATTTATGCCAATAGGTCGATCGTAAACATGCTCCGTATGTACGGGAGCCAGCTGATCCTGTGATGGAGCGGTCCCTTGCCCGGTTTGCGGTTTTTCACATCCATGGCTCATCATCCTCAGTCGTGTCTAGGAGATTACGCAAGGCATTGCAATTTTGCGTGGTTAACCGCGATAGAGGCAATATCCTTTGCAGGTTAGTTCTGCGTTCGGTCAGGTCAATACTTCTTATCATGCAGCCATGCACTTAGCTGGCACGGTGTGTAGCCAGTGCGTGGTGTGGTGGTCGACTAATGAAATGTCCCAGATGCAGAACCTTGCATGTAAAGTATTTGCGTCCCATGCATGACTGTTCTGCACTGCACTGATTACACAGAGACACACAGACACACAGACAACACTATAACTAATAGCTAGGGATGGACGGGGGTATGACGACCTGGTTGCCCAGCTCGCTCGTGTGGGGAAGGGTAAGCCCGGGAACCGAAGCCATCGTAGGCGCGGGTGGTCTTGCAGTGGTAGTGTGCATGATGGGGTGGTGATCTGGTGAGGTGCTGCTATGAGCGAGACATAGCCCCGCCAGACAAGCTCCCGCCTTGACACCTTGCCCCGCCTGCCTGACACGGATAAGGGCGGCCTCGGACTGGAACAACGTTCTGGTGCGGGCTGCCTGAGCGGGGGCCGACACAGCATTGCGTGGCTTGGGGTTTGCCAGGTAGACTACCTGAGGTAGTTCGTAGAGTAGTAGTGTGGTCAGTTTTCAGGATGTTACAGAGTGGGTATCAAGGACTCTAACTTTCTCACCACCTACGCTTGTTTTTTGCACATTCTCGGAAGTCATGTCGCCTTAAGGAAAATTTACGAAAATTTACGACCAGCCAATGGAAAGACCCTCTTTGCCAACCTAGGCACTGTCGAATCTCTGCCTCTTCCGATACCCGTTTTCCTAACATAGAATATATCCACTCAGCGTTTCAATGAGTTTCATCATGCTATTCATAGGCCTCATAATGTCGTTCTTCCCTTTCTATCGAAAAGTGTGAATTCCTGCCACATACGTGCTCGTCCGTGCCCTGCCTTTCCGGGAGCGGATTCCCGTTCGGGGAACTCGACCGTTCGGGGTCCACTGTAACAATCGGCATCCCCGCGGTAGGATCACACTTAAAGCACACTTTCAGCCTAACATTTTAGTGCACAAGTGTTGGGCATCAGGCTGTGTTTCCACTTGGATTAAAATTCGCGGATTAAGCTTTTCTTAATCCGCACCAATCCACCGCTAATCCCTCGGAGTGTTTCATACGCGTATGGATTAAGATACGGATTAAGCACGACAGTTACCGGTGCTTATTATTGGTGCATTAAACGTAAAAGAGAGTATCGTTTAAGATATTATAGACTATTTAGAACCATAGACTATAAGAATGAAGGGCGAAGACCGCAACAGACTGTTGTTGGCGGCCATTGCCGGCTGCACTGCTACGGACCCCTTGCGGGTCAAAGCCAGCGTTGCGCTTGGCCAAAGGCCTTGCAGAATGTTGAGCATGTGTCAGTAGGACGGTACCATTGGCTCCGCGACGCACGCGGTGGTGTTCATAATAGCGGCAAGGAAGCTTTCAGCTTTCAGGATGCTAGGCACACCTACAATGTAAATAAGAGATAATCTTCTAGTGCATTAATCAGGCTTTACGAGACGTCGTAAAAAATGTTAATGCGGGCTTGCGTTGCGGAAGCCAGAAGCCAGGTTAGTTGGCGTAAGGCCCTTGGGCGATGCAAGCATTTCGGTTGCTTCGCCACGGCCCGTGTCCTCAGGGCCGTATAAGTAACGCACTTGGATTCTGTTCCTCATCTTATTTTTGTTGTTCAGCGCGCTCCCGCCCGCCAGTCCCTGTCTGCGTCGCCCGCGTCGTTGCTCATGGGTATTTTTTCTTTGGTTTCGTAAGGCCGTCCACTTGCCCGCCCGGCCGTCAGGGCGATGGATTCAGGGCGATGACCTGGATCCACTTCGCCTTGCACTTTTTGATACAGGGCGATGGATGACGTACAACAAAGGTCACACTTGGCAAGAGAACATAAGCCTGCCAACTGAGAACAATTCAGTATTCCTTTAATGAATAAAAGGAACAGAATGCTGCCAAAACAATCAGTGTTGGAAAACATAGGTGGCGCCGCAATGCTCACCCTCTGATCTACATAAAGCCTTGAGGAATCATAAGACATGATTGGATGGCGTACCAGTAACTTTAGTACTCAGTCCATTGCTGGCACAGCAAGCTGACGCATGGATGCGCGGGAAGCCCATGACCCAATCTCTTGCCGTTTCGGACATAGGGACCGTATAGGCTTAAATTCAATCAAGAATGCTGGAACAAACCGTTGATTTGCTTGTTGTAAGCAAGGGGTGCGGCTTTACACGAAGAGGCTTTTATAAGAATGGAGTGGGAGTCATGCACATGGGCGCCCTTGCATGGCATAAGGGATGCGAAACATAGGTCGATAACGTTCGTTGTATGAATGTTGGTAAGATATTGTTCAGTTTTGGTGGTGTTTAGTAGAGGTCCTTTACCTGGCCATCGGGGTTGCGCGAGCTTCTAACCCAACCCTGACGAGGCCAACGAGTGGATCATCGATTCGATATACCATCCTCGTTTGCTGCTGAACTTTGCTCGTGGGTTAGTTTTCGTGTCCTTGTCATTTTGCGTGGTCTGAAGAGAATTTTAGCGATGGAGATAGGACCCTCTCCTAGATTAATGATCCTCATGATCTAACTACACGTTTCAGGGCCATCAGTAAATGATTCTACCATGCGTCGTGAGTTCTGGTAGATATGCATGTCTGGTGTTACCGGTGAGCTAACCCACGAACGCAGAATCGGAGTTTCCCACATGCAGCTAGCTTCTGCAATGGGACATGATGAATATTGACTGCAACATGTATTCGCGTCTTATCACGAACGCATAAAAAGACGCACGCGATACGTCACGTCTGTAAAAGGACGCACGCTACTAGCGAGCGTGCTCGTCTCGCTATCAAAGGATGCCGCGCATAGGGACCCTTCGCTATCCACGTCCGCTTCTTTGAAAGCGTGACGCTGGCATTAAGCCTATACGGTCCCTATGTCCGAAACGGCAAGAGATTGGGTCATGGGCTTCCCGCGCATCCATGCGTCAGCTTGCTGTGCCAGCAATGGACTGAGTACTAAAGTTACTGGTACGCCATCCAATCATGTCTTATGATTCCTCAAGGCTTTATGTAGATCAGAGGGTGAGCATTGCGGCGCCACCTATGTTTTCCAACACTGATTGTTTTGGCAACATTCTGTTCCTTTTATTCATTAAAGGAATACTGAATTGTTCTCAGTTGGCAGGCTTATGTTCTCTTGCCAAGTGTGACCTTTGTTGTACGTCATCCATCGCCCTGTATCAAAAAGTGCAAGGCGAAGTGGATCCAGGTCATCACCCTGAATCCATCGCCCTGACGGCCGGGCGGGGTCCACTTGAGCTTAGGCCTCCTTGGCACAGCATCCCTGTAACAAAAATGGCAATGGCAATCTCTCTTGGAGCAACAACTAATACCAGATTGTCAATTTGATACCAGGTCCTGGAGGGGCCCGGGTAGCAATTTTTTCCCACCAAGTTTGAGCTTTTATCATAGGAAGAATGCGCGCATTTCATAACATATTAATCTATATTTAATCCACGAAGTGCGTGAATACGGGCGTACATCTCTAACTAATCCATAACCTTAATCCGCCTAATCCGTCCTTATCCGCGAGGTGTTTCCATATGCGACGGATTAATCGTTAATCCGCGACTTTTAACCCAAGTGGAAACACCCCCTCAGTTGTGTTCAGCTGTTATGTCGCCGCTCGTTCTGCTGCTGATCGGCGGGGCCCTTGCGGCATCCGTTAGCAGCAGCCCTGTAATAACCAAGGTGCGCATTATATATTTTTATATAGACAGGGAGGACCATGCATATACAGAATACGAGTTGAGGAGAAAACGTTTCGTCATAAAATTTCTTTTCTGAGGCGCCGAAGGCCTTGCAATTGCTTACGCGATGACCCTCCGCCGCATACCTACAGGCTGCTGATGTCGCTGATAGTGGCCATCGCGCTGAGGGACTTCGTCAGCTGAGCACTCACATGCTTGCGGGCTCTACACGTCGCTTGCGGGCCACAACTCCGCCTCTGCAGGCGCCTCAGCGGCGGCCTTCACCCAGGCCACCCAAGCCACCTTCTCCCAAGCCACCTTCTTCCAAGCCACCTTCTCCCAAGCCACCTCCTCCCAAGCCACCATCACCTAGGCCATTTCCAAGACCAGTACAAGCAACTCCCCCGCCCCCGCCATGGCGACCACCACCGTCACCACGACCATCACCACCACCACCACGACGGCCACCACCGCAGCCATCACCACGACCGCCTCCGCGACCCTTGGTGTCTCCATCACCCCCCTCAATGTAGGCACAAACGCACCGACGAACCATCGAGTTAATTTAGCTGTATGGGTGCATGTGTCCTCTAGCCCAGATCGCAGGAACTGTCCATGATGGACCAGGTCCAGCACATCATGTACATGATTGCAATGCTAGCGCCTTCACCGTTTTCTGTGTGTATCCATGCCTGCATGCGAAGTGTGCATATGTGGGGGGCTTGAAGCATGACAAGCAAAGATGTCGTTGTGTTTGCGCTAGCTTTCATGTCGTTAGCACCGGCAGTGTGTGTGGGCTTATCACCATTACTTCTGCAGTCGGGGCTACTTGGGGTTTCAATACCTACCACTGCTTCGCTTGTTTTATTTGCTGCTTTCAATGTGGTTGTTTATGGACTAACATACATTGCACGCGTGTGACCGCGGTGCAACACACACGTGCACATGTACATCCACAGCTGCGCTGATCAGGAGCCACTGGCGAGCTCCTGCTCCTTCTGGAAATCTAGCGGCTACTGTAGCCCTGGGTACTTCGCCAGCGACCAGTCGGTAGTGGACTACTGGTGCCGCAAGACGTGTGGAACCTGCGTCTGGTACGTTGTGAAGTTGGAACGTCTGCCTGTCATCATAACACCCATCTTGCTATGTGTCATCAACCTGCAACTCGCTCTCCTGCTGTCAGCGTATCATAGCTAGCCACTGAAAGGGCCATATATGCTGGTGGGGCGCCTCTGCGCATATTTACAGTTGATCTGTGTGCCGTATTGTGTGCAGCTACTACATTCCTCCCCTTTTTGAAGGGATCCGCATCACCGGCCCTGTACTTGCCATCTCCTATATTCTCGGGCAGCAGTGGGTGCTCAACCCACATTGTATCAAGTCATGATCTATAGACCATTCCATGTATACCATAGGTCTATAAACCAAGTATGCCTGGGAACACGCTTGCGTCTGCACACATGCAAGCAATCCTGCGCAATTTCCTTTGTATGACCAGCTCATCACTCCCACCATACCCTTGCATGTCGCTCGGATGCTTACTAGCCCCTCACATGCCATGCCATCCTGAACATGATTGCCGAGATCACCATACCTCGGTTATTGGGCCAGTAAGATTACCGGATGGACCCAGTTTTTTTTTCGTTTAGGACGGGTCTCAATGTATTCCAACCTAAGAAACAAAGTTGCTAGGGTTGGATTTAATTTGTTCCTTAATTGTGAGGCGCTGGGGGGTGCTCCGCCCCCACCAGACGCCCCCCAAATATGTTACAACTCCCCTCGTAGACCAAGAATCATGCACTGAGTTGGTGGGTTGGTTATGTGAGGACCGGTCATACATGCTGCAATGCCGCGTTGACTCACGGGCGATTATGATAGGCAGTTAATAATATTATCTGCCTATTACCTGTGGTAAAATTCACCTCAATGAGGGTTGGCAAAAACACTATATTGGAAAACCCAAATAGTATAGCGCGCTGCTTGAGGGCCTTGCAACCACCTCGATGTGGTGCGTGCTGGTGAATGTAGTATCCTGGGTATCACGGGATCTAGCATCTGCCGATCGGTTCTTTTCCTGCGATAAGACGTGATACAACAGTGAATGACGGGTTTGCGGGGCTGAGCAGCTCATCGCAGTGCAAGCAGACTAGCTGTGGCAAACTAGCCCACTATTCCACATCGAAGTTGTCCCAAAGACCACCCACCCTAATATTAATCTTCTGCGTCTTTAGCTTCTTAAACATCTCGTGCCGGCGCGGTGGACGTCAGGGGGGACGTCGGCGCCAGGCTGCAAACCTCTGAGCGCCTTGCCATTCTTTATACTAGAATCCCTCGACATTATTCATCACAAACCATTCATCGAGGTTCCTAGGCACGAGTATGGCCCTTCAAACTACAGCTTGACCGCAGATCTCTACTTGGTCCAATTAATACTTGACAATATCCAAGCTCATATCTAGTAATACATAGTACTATTTTTACTAAGCTAGTTTACTATGAACGGACACGGGGACGAGCATCGTAAACTAGTGCCACTGTCAAGCCCCGCATAGTATATAGTACTATTCCTAGTATTCTCATAAAGCACTATTTTCTAGTATAGTACCCGTGCCAACCCTAGTTAAGCAGCCCCTCGCACAATTGCAGGGAACGAGCCGAAACGGAAACCTGCGGAAACGGAAACCTGCGTAAACAGGTTTCGTCACGCTTTCCGCAGCGAAGCCCAGATTGGCGGAAATGCGGAAAGAGAATCCGCATTTCCGCGTTTGCTGTACGGCGGAAATTGAAAAACAGATTCCAGGCATGCGTTTGCCATTTAAAGACTGCGTTTTACACTATGGAGTTATTAGATTAAGTCAAATGTCAGCAACCACTGACCCCGACCTGGGGGCTGCCGAAGTCATAGAGATTGACTGTGTTTCTGCTCAGAAGAAGGGTTTTTGATAATTGATTCCACAATGTCCGTAAACGTGGTTGAAGTTGAACAGAGCCACGTCGTTGCAGTTATCGTTGTGCGGTGCCATTTTTAGATACTTTAGCCCTCTCGCTTTTTTTATTCCTTTTTATTTTTTTTATTTTGAATTCATATTGTTTGGACGATTACTGGATTAATGCACAGTCAGCATAGACTTGTCCGTGAGGCATGCAGACATGCCGGACGGGTATGCGGAGTAGGCATGCAGACATGTCACTGCTCCGCAACGGACAGGGAGACGATTATTATTCAGTGTTTCAGGGCTCCCCGGGCCCTTACCCCATGTAACATACGAGTGGCAATTTCTGAGCATCCCAGAGCAATCCGTCAGCCAACAACACTATGGGGGTGGTATACGATAGGGCTGCTCAGGCCTGGGGTCTCAGGGTTCAAAGAGAGGCGGGCTGCTTGAAGGGGGCAGGGTGAACACCGTCAAGGGTGTGGGCACACAATAGTTGATCGCTTGGCCCCCGCCACCCCCAGTAATACGTTTAGATGGCTCTACCTTCGAGCACGATTGGAATCCACCAGATTCTAGATCCCACCGGACAGAACCGCACTGCCACAAGCTTGTGTCAGACTGTCCAAGTTATCGCCACACTGAGAAGAGCTAAAAAACATTGTTACATATTCATTTTATAGTTTTCGCAGCTTTCCGCGGTTTCCGCAGCCTTTCCGCAAAGGGCCTCCCGATTACGAAAAGTTTCCGCAGACCTGGTCAAGTTTCGGCTCGTTCCCTGCACAATTGTGTCCGGTCTTACTGTGCCGAATAAAACATCCGTACAAGACGCCCAAAAAGCAATGAGCAAATTTTACCGCGCGAAGGCGCGCGTGCGATTCTCAAAATGCGCGTGTACAAGTGTATGTCATTTTTTTTGGCGAAAGGCCGCCGTGTGCCAGCGCGTTGTGCAGGAGGGCATGTTGGCCACAGACGCACGCGGTATGCAGGCCGGACATTTTGGTGGCTGCTTTGCCGGAACTGAAAGCACCGAAAGCAAACAATGTAGCTTGCAAGACTGGGCGCATGAAACGGCCGAGGGAAGAGGAAGCGTTTGGCGAAGCGGCATTTTTGTGCAAGCAAAGAGACACGCTTTTGGTAGCGCAACGCATTCAGCACCTTGTTCAGAGTATAGTCAAACTACAAACTGGCACAAAATATAACATACACAAACTTAATTAAACATAAAAACAGAAAAGTCGTTCAGAGCCATGTCGGTGACATGGACGCTGCTGATGGCCGCTTTTTGCTGCGTATACGGCCGTGAGTGGTATGCTGCTCCTTACAAGGACTGCTCGTAGCGTGCTCGGTTGAATGCTCGGTAGCGTGCGAGATCACCTATCATGATGTTTGTTTGCATATCCCTCCAAGCGAGAGGGCTTGGACCTATGCTGATGTTCGTTACAAGAAGTGAACTGAGGACTGATGCTACACGTCATGTATACGCGTTGCTTAGCTTGCAACGTGACGTGAAAGGTATGCACGTAAATTACGCCTTGTAACGCTTCAACTACACTCACAATAGACTGCTGCACTATTCTCTCCAGTCCTGCCACATTATGTTTCACCGACGTACTTCGGCACCTTCCACATCTATAACGCGGTCAGCTGCTTCACCAGGGCCCCCATATTTAATATTCAATTGGTTCAGGCAATGAGGCAGAAATGAGGCAAAATCTACTTATTATGCCAAACACTGCCGTACAGGCAGTGTTCACCGTTTATACCTATTAGTAGTTTCAAATATATGCTTGTATAATATATGCACAATATGTGTGATAGGTAACGTCTTGTTGTATCCACTTCCACTGTTTAGGTGGTAGTGAAAACTACCGATTAGTGAATGAGAAGAGGCTAAATGCCTCTGCGTTAGGACGACCCGTACAGAAGTCTGTACGGTCCGAAGATATAGTCGTCAACGCGAATTATCACCAATCGGTGCAATCGTAACCCAAGTGGGTCTACCAGTGACAAGTGTCACGATTATAGCAAGAGCGCTATAATGCAGTATCACGCGTGATAAAGACAGGCAAGTGCCCGCTTAAAGATGGGCCAGCGCCCAATTAGAGATAGGCAAGTGCCCAATGGTTAACCAAGTAAGAGCGAAGATATTGCCCAGCGGCAAAGTGCCAGAGAATTGGGGAAAGATCCGAGGGTTAATATGCAAGTGTGCCACAACAACTATCCCCCCTCAGGACGCAGCATCCTCGCAGCTTTAGTGGCACGAGCCTTAACTGCTTGAAGTTCGGGGCGAAGGTCGGTAAAGTTTTTCTCTGGCTCCCAGCTATTATGTTCATTGGAATACCCGGTCCATTTGACGAGGTACTCGTGCACCAGCCCCTTACGGCGTCTTCCTAGGCGGCGGGCACGATAATCCAGTATGCGCTCGACCGAGTAAAGTGGATCGCTCTTCAGCCACTGAACCGGCGGCGGTCCTGCAGGACTAGAAAGTGCAGAAGAACTGTCGCGAACAGTTGAAGAATCCAACGCATCCGCTGGCGCCTTGTAAGGCCGCAACAATGTTACGTGGAAGGTGGGGTGGATGCGCATATCAGACGGTAGGACAAGCTCGGCCGCTGCTTTGCCAACCATGCGCTTCACAGGGTAAGGACCCACCCACCGCGGCAATAATTTACGAGGTCCGACGGCTAACTGCCGCAGATTTTTCGTACTTAAAAGCACTAAGTCGCCTTCCTTGAAGGTAACTTCGGCTCTGCCACGGTTGTAATAGTTAGTCGTAATGGCTTTTTCCAGACACTGCTTCGCTTCTGCAATACGAGCAACGTACGACTTAATAAAGGATTTGGCTGCCGGGACCGGAACATCAAGTTCACGTGAGACGGGAGTAGCTGGGTGGAACCCGTAATTTAAGAAGAAAGGAGATTGTCCCGTAGAGCGATTGACAGCGTTGTTCATCGCGAATTCTGCAGCCGAAAGATAGGTGTCCCAAACACGAGGGTTGTTGCCAGCGTAAGTTCGCAGCATATCACCCAAAGTGCGATTCATTCGCTCAGTCTGACCGTCAGTTTGTGGATGATAGGCAGTAGAAAGGCTTACTCGGAAATTAGCCAAAGTGCCAAGGGCTCCCCAAAACTTGGCACCAAACTGAGGTCCTCTATCAGAAATAATCTGTTTGGGAACACCATGCAGACGCACCACGTTATCAAAGAACAGTCGAGCGGTTTGCTCCGCGGTAACTGTCGTGGTGGTCGGTACCAAATGTACCATCTTGTTCAAGCGGTCAACAATGACGAGGACAGCGTCGTATCCCCCCTCGGAAAGAGGAAGTGCGACGACATAGTCAAGCGACACACTCTCCCAAGGCGAGTCTGGAATCGGCAAGGGCTGAAGCAAGCCCGATTGCTTACCAGATTTCGGCTTCTGCCGTTGGCAAACGTCACACTGCTCAACAAAG